TTGGAACAGGCTGCTCCGGAGAACGAAAAGTTGGAGGAGCTAAGCTTGCTGAGCTCCTGGCTTCCCTTCCCTGAACCTCAAACCAAGACCTTCTTAAAGTAACTAGAAAAGGGAAAAATGGCCTTTTCCTTCAGATCAATTCCACAACTACCAATGTTTACCCAGAACTAACTAAACATTCTGAACATACAGAGCACACAAGAGTCGGCGGATTTGGAGAAACTTCTCGGAGCGACAGCTGACAGCCAAGACGACCCTATCACAGCTAATAAAAGAATTTATTGTAAACATACGTATCTTACACAATTATACAGTATAATACAGATAACATGAAGGATTGAAACACTCAGCATTACAAACAGGTGCAATAGTTGTCAAGAGATCTTTAAGTCGTATCAAGACTCTTTAGACTGCACAGCCAGAGGAACACACCGTAACATTTCATCACGCCGTATCATCTGTAGCGTTCCACGCACACCTGAGTGGGTGCATGAAATTCCACCACCTAACTCATCTCCAAGCAATTCCCACAGGAACTTCTCACCAACAATTCTTCCTCCTGCCACTTCTCAAAATTCAAAGAACTCGTCGCAAACATTTCCTACATCTGAAGGACTAAACACATGTGTTATTCTCTATCTGCTTTTCACAGATTTTATTTTTCCTCAGCAAACTTTACACACTATTAACAGAGCATCTCCTAGAATAACCTGTGGTTGCTCAGAAATGTAGCAATAGATGTCTACTGCAAGGACCACATTAAGAACGAGGGGCATTTACCCGCCTGCTTCGAGGTCAGGTTCAGGACTCCCTCTGAAACTCCATTCCTCACAGAAAAGCAGGACACAGGCAAGGAAGCCACAATTTGAAAACACATGCCCAAAGACGAGCTCCTGAGTTCTCAAGAGCTGCTCCGGGCGTTATCAAAATCCCAGAAACCGAGCCCACAAGAGACGGGGGCTGGAAATGCGTGTGTCATTGCAGAAGATCGCAGCACGGCCGAGTTTGCCCGAGAGGCTGTTCCCACACAACCTGCAGGCTGTCACAGCGATAGTGACAGACAGCCTGAAAATGCCCTTCTCTTTTGTAAAATCCGCGTGCAGTGGTGTCCAAAAGCCGTACGGACTCTGAGCTCCCTACAGTCTACAAACAAAGTGTGGGGCCTGCAGCTCCTGGATTCGTCCCGGCTCTCAGCACCGAGCTCGCACATCGTCACCGCTGCTCGACCCCTTCACGCCGCCCTCAGCTGCAAAGCTCGCGTCAGGGCTAAGCTGCGCGTTTCACTCGCGCAGGCAATCCTGCACTCAGCTCACCCGAGCAAGCCAGGATTACATTTTGAATCCAGAGCATCCGAAACGCCCGTTCCAGGGGCATTTCAGCCCTTCTCTGAATGATTCCATCCCTTGGTCCCATTTCCTAGATTCGAGGGGCAGGTTCTGCCACTCTTACTCTAGCGAACTCCCTGTCAGCTCTGATGAACGGAGGGAGGCTTATCTGCAGACTCCTGTTTTATCTAAGGTGGAGAAGACAGGCAGCGTCTCATCTGAGGCACACGGTACCTTCTTCAGCTTAAGAACTGCATCAAACCTCCGCCACTCTCCTTGGAAGCCTGAAACCACCCTCCAGCTGAACCGTCGGCCACGGTTCCTGCACACTACTGGGGTTACCATCACCTGTCTTCTAGCCCCCCCTAAAAAAGCACCAAAAGATAACATCTTGAAGATTTCTGTTCCTACGCCAAGCCAGGAAAGGTAACTGTAGTTTAACATTTATAAAAGGCTTTGTATTGTCAAAGCACGGCACCAACATGAGCGAGGCCTCAGTACACCCCTGTGAGGTAGGTATCGTGCTCCCCATGCTCTGAGATGGGGAAACTGAGGCACAGAGTGATTAAATCAAAGGCCATGCAGCAGACCAGAGACCCAGCTGAGATCAGCGCACTGGAGGCTCTGGCTGACCCATGCTCCACCCACACGACAGCACTGCCTCACAGAACAAGCACCCTGCAAGCGTGACAGTCCAACGGAAGTCCCACCAGCTTTACAACGGCTGATTCGCACTACCAGCAAGCCCCCATGGGGCAGGACAAACGGGCGGTGGATGTGGGGTGGTCAGGATGTTGTCAGCAAAGCCTTCTCCAGCGAGGTATGGATAGCCAGGCTGCAGACACGTCTCCTACACCAGTGATGTTCCTGAGACAGGCAAGTGCTGGGGTTAGTAGCAGAAGTTCTTCCTGCAGTCAAGACATCAGAGGAGCTCCCCACAAAGAGCAAATCTCTGATTTTTCGATCCTACCCGGCCTCTCTGTGTTGAGCAGAACTTGAGCTGAAGTGGTGCTGCTCCCACAGCACTTCGCAATCCAGGCCGATCGTTCGTGAACGCTGTCTGAACATCAGGACCTGTACAACACAGCTGGTCACCTGCCCTCCAGCACACTCCAGACCTTCCGGGAGCGCAGGGAGGCACTCGCTGGGCAACTAAAGGGTTTCAGCCAGTCCGAGACCGCCAACACCGAATACTGTCCTCGCTCCTCTCCTTCTCCATGCAGGACAAGCAGCCAGTCACATCTTACCAAGCCTGACCACGGTTTGTTCACCTTGACTGAGCATGTGCCAGTCTACCCTTCCTGAGGTGACTGAGAAAGCTGCCATCTGACGCCGCCTCTAGAGAGGCAAGGAATTTGGTCAGGGGACATTCAGCTGAACAAGCTCATGATCAGCCTTCCCAGCTTTGCTCTCAGTCACGTGCACCATGCTCGAGCAGGACTGCCAGAATCTGTTGCAGCCATCAGCCTCCTGCTTCCCCATGGCCAAACCTACCCAACCACCTCGCCCACCTGCCCAAACGACCCACCTTTACAAGCTGCCTTTGACCTCTCTCACATTCAGAGTGCCAAAGCAACTGCTCTGCCCGCAGTATGGAGAATGCACCAAAAAACATGATTTCTTTTCTTAAAAACCGTGTTCAAACTCATCAATTCAGCTGCCTCAGAGGGACCAGGCCTGCGGAGTCTCTCACAGCCAGCAACTCGATGCAAACTGACAATGTTTGTTCAGCCACTGAACGTACACTTACCAAGTAAACACTGACATTTAACAACTTGATTTGGAACAGAGCATCATTCTGTTGCATTAAGGTGCATCTTTAATTGGAGGTAACAATCTAGTAGCCCAATGTTATAAATGTATATAATAGTGTCCTACAGAAATACTGGATTTGTGAACCCAACTTCAGTCATAAATCCACCTTTCCTGTAGCATCTTCTCCGCTTTATTTCACTGTTCCTCATTCAGTATCTTCATATGTTTGTTTGTGAGGAAGTCAAGAAAGGGAATATTACAGATGGCTTTGTGAATATTCATCACTGTGATCTCTCTGGGAGTCCTGCGGGGAATACATCAGAGATGCTGTTATAATACATAAAAAGACACGTGTCCATAAAGCAGCAAGTCAATACATTTACCAAGGGAGGCGGGGTGGGGAGAGAGAAAAAAGGTCAATCAAAAAAAAGGATAAAAGAGCAGGTGTTAAGAGCAACACAGGAAAGCATTAAAATGTCACAGCACAAAAAATCTACTCTCAGGTGACTGGGGGAAACATCTTGGGCACTGGGACAGGAAAAGCAAGTGATGAAGTATTAATTCTTAAACTTCTACACCACAGACTGTGTGTAAATATTTCTATGTATAACACATATACAAATGTTTAATATACATAAATATTTATATACTGCATACAAGTAAATATTTAAACTAAACATTTTGTCATAGAGTTCTTTTCCATTTCAAGCTATCCCAAATCATGGCGCTGAACAGAAATCAAAATGAGGCCTAATCGTTACCATAAAAATCACTCAATAACTGAGCCAGAAGAGAGTGGATCAGTAAAATTAAAGAGGAGATTGTTTAGGCCTAAGAGGGAACGAGCTGCTGTACCTGTTGTGAGGAGCTGTCTGGTACGCCACAGCCAGCGCTTGCCGCAGGATATCGCTCATAAGCTGTTCCGTGGCCTGTGACAAAGACAGCATGGGGAGACAGCGTTATGAAGAGAGGAAAGGAACGTGCCATTTGCTCGAGTATTGGTGTAAGAGCAGCTGGAACTGTGGCTCACTTCCACCCTGTATTCGGTCAGCAATGGGCAGGTCAAGACGCCCAAGTGAGTTTTACCGGCGCAGTGGTAAGAACAGAGTACACTTCACCAAAAAAGAGACCTACAGCTCGTGTCAAGACACTTTCAGAAAAGCCTCCCAGCCTGGACAGCAAGCAGACGGCAGCCATATGCCACTTGGCTTAATCAAGGTTCAATCAAAAGCTAATTAAAGCTCTTGGCTTTCAGTGCCTGTATCAAGGCTCGAGCAGAGGTTTCTGGGACGTTCAGTCAGGAGAGCTGGCATGCCTCTACGGTTACAACGGAGCAGTCTGCTGGCTACAATCTGGGTCTACGAACGGATGCACCTGTATCTGAGTTCCACTATGATGTGTAACGGAGAGCACAGCAGAAGTCTGCGTGCATGTGTGTGAGACCTGGAATTAATTAGCTTTCGTAAAACCGACCTTCTGATCAGCAGCAGCCTGTATAAACAACCCCAGAAACCGTCTTTGGCTTGAAACACAGAAAAACACTGCTGAAAATAATCTGTGTTAGCCTTTAGTCCAAACCCAAGAACTTCAAATTCATGCTCTTCAAAGCTTTGGTAAGAAACAGTCTCTGTTTTTCCAAAACTGATTATGACAGACAAACGGCCTCTCATAGCGGGGAGAACTGCTGCTCTCTGCAGGAATTCAGCAGTCTCCCAAGTAGAGACAACCCAGGCAAAAAGGAACTGAACAGCATTTAGGACAAAACAGCTAACCTCTCACAAAATAATCAAGTCTTGCAGAACTCTGTCAGATTCCCCCCCTCCAAGTTCTGCAGGGTAGGACAAAGGAAGGGGTACTTGCAAAATTACAGAATGAGCCAGAATCCGCACATCACTATTCTGTGTCCAGGGCAACAAATCACACAGAAGCGTAGGACACTCTTTGGTCAGCTACACCTCTCTCTATACATGCACAAAGTCAGACACCAGACTCCGCATCTCCTGATTTGACAAATGCATATTAACAAGGATATTCACTTTTTTTTTTTTCCTACATTACTGGTTTAATACAGTTACGAAAAAGGTCTTAATGTGAAGTAATTTCTTACCTTTAAAATCATGTCTTCTATTACTGATGCATAAACATTCTTTTGTACCTCAGCAGGCTGAAAAGAAATCCCTATCTATAAAACAGAAGAGAAAAAAATAATTACTACATCAATTAACACAACCCACATTTTGCCACAGATGAGATGAGAATGAGATAACAGAAACAATCTGTTACAAAGGGCAGTGAAAAAACAAGCAAGCAGGCCCTGCAGAACTTTCAGGCAGTGTCATCTCAGGCTTCATTTAATAAAAAAATCTGGGGAAAATGAAGCCTGACTGTTAGAACAGCCTGCAGAAATGCCTCTAAAACACAGAAGAGACAAAAGCGGGTTTTAATTTTTGTTTCAGAAAGCCCACACAAAAAACAGGCTGCATTGGGTATCTCTGGATTGAGAACGGACGCTTCATTTTAAAACTGTACATACATACAACCCATCTATTCATAATGTTCCCTGCACCTAACTATGGCAACTGAAACCACTTTACACAGTACCCCTGGCACAAAAGTTCTGCATCAGACGAGTGCTCCATTGCCCAGCCACGCTCTCGCCATGCCTGTGCCCTTGCCACCCAGGCAGAGGACTAAGACTGCAGGAGCAAAGCTCTGTCCCTTGATGGCAGCCCTCGAGGCGGAGATGGAGATCCTCTCCTTCTCCCACAACTGCTGCATGCAAACCCACTGCTCCTGTCTCTGCTGGAACCACAGCAAGCACTTCTTCCTACAGGCTGAGTCAGTCTCCTCTCTTTCCTTCCTGCTGCTGTGAGAGAAGCCCCTCCTCGCCCTTTTTTTTTTTACCTCAGTTTCAACAGGGGGAAGAAAACCCAAGCAGCAGAGAAGTTTGCTGTGATCTTAGCTTTACCACAATTCCTTTTCAGGAGCTGCCACTAAACAGCACTGCCCCAAGCACCGAGGCCAAATCTTCCACGTGATGGGACAGGGCAGAATTCAGTGGTAGTGCTCCTCTTCCCTCGTTTCCCCTTGCTTCTGGCCTTCCACAATGATTTTTCTGGTGCTAAGCCCTGCAACGCAGCTACTCACCCCCCTCTCGGCTGGCAGGCTCGACTTCCTCCTGCCAGCACTGGCAGCTGCCTGTCCTGAGTCAGAAGGCTTTGTTTTTCCCAGGGCATTTATAAAAACTTTCATAAAGCATCCAGAGACCCATATAGATGAAAGAAAAGCAACTAAATAAATGTAAGACCACAACTAGCTTAACAGCAGTTCTTACTAGCTTTACGATTCACTTCTTACCTTCTCTGCAGTGTCCCTCACGAACTCAGATGCAGGCAAGGAAGCCAAGTAGAACTTCATCTCCTCCTGTTTCTCCTCCTGTTCTTTCTTAATGTTTATTTTTAATGGCTCGCTAAAGTTGAGAATATCTACTTCCTCTTCGTGTTCTGGTTCTCGTTTGAGAAATTGCTGTAGTTCCTCTAGTTTTCGGCACAGCTCCTCACCACTGCTGTAAGACGAAGGGCATTCTGAAAAAGAGCAATCAGTTGAACACATGACAGGCTACGGAAAGCTGTTTATAAACAGATGCACACTCCAAATATGCTAAGAAATTACGGAAATTGGAAGTCATTTTCTTAGTTCCCACAAAACATAAGGATGAATGGAAATGCAAACAGTCATTGAGAGCCTTCTAATTACATCTTCATGACACTCATGGTCCTCTCCCTCATCTGTCCCTACCACCAGCCAAGAAGGCTGCATTTCAAACAAAACCAGGCTAATGCGAGTCCCCTAAACATTCCCAAAGCAGCTTTTTGACAACTGGCAAAGCAGTCTGATGCTCTTCAACTTGCCTGGAGAAACGTAGTTTCTACTATGTAGGCACCGCGTGGCACTAAATCACCTTTTACGGTGTGAGGAGTATTATCATGCTTTTTAAGAAAAATCAGAAGACAGATTTGCAGTGGAATTACAAAAAGGTAATCTCTTCTCTGCATGCTTGACGTGAGCCAGTAAAACCTTGAGTGGAAAGCTATGCAATAAACAGATTCTCTTCCTCAAAGACAACCACAAATCGAGTTATTTAGCCACAAATGTTAAAAGGTGGACGTAGGCTTCCTTTCCACCTTCAACAACTGCAATGCAGGGCCAGACTTGGCAAAGAATACTCAAATCCATACGCTTCTGTGAAATACCTTAAATCCCTGTACAATCAGAACAGAAGAACAATCAGCTTTGGGAAAGAGATTATCTGAAGGTGAAACAAGGGAGCTTAACTGTGTAGAGTGGATGAAATTAAAGATGTATGTTTAATACATACTGAAATGGACTGTGGAGATCCCTGAGCTATGGCTAGTACAATAATGCAGCAACTGTAACAACACAACATGAAGCTTCACACGGGCCAATTCACTTCACTTTTGGAGGTAAATTAAGCCCTCTGGCCCTCAGGAATCCCAGGCCCCGGAGGTAAGAGAAGAGGCCTACAATGAGCACGACTTTCCCTTGGTCGAGGAGGACTGTGTGAGGGATCGCTTAAGCGATCTGGATGTCCACAAATCCATGGGCCCCGATGGAATGCACCCACGAGTGCTGAGGGAGCTGGCGGATGTCATTGCTGAGCCACTCTCCATCATCTTTGAGAGGTCCTGGAGGACAGGAGAGGTGCCCGAGGACTGGAGAAAGGCCAATGTCACTCCAATCTTCAAAAAGGGCAAGAAGGAGGACCCAGGGAACTACAGGCCACTAAGCCTCACCTCCGTCCCGGGAAAGGTGATGGAGCAGCTTATCCTGGAGGCCATCATCAAGCAAGTGGAAGAAAAGAAGGTTATCAGGAGTAGTCGGGGGGGTTGGACTAGATGACCCACAGAGGTCCCTTCCAACCCCTGCTATTCTGTGATTCTGTGATTCTGTAAATTAAGCCCTGCTGAGCTCCACGCTGCCGCTGCCAGTTTTGGGGCTTTTCTGTACCTGAACTCCTTCACTCTGTTGGCATGGTAAGTCTTTTAACAGAGGTTAAGCTTACCCAAGGGCAGAACTGCCGCTACTCGCTATGCTTTGTTTGTGTGCCCATTTATAAATGATTAACACTGTGGGGCAAGCACCATCTCTCCTAAGATTTATCTACACCGGGCCTCCAAACGCCCCAAAGCACAATAAAACCCAGAAGAGGCCCCAGAGAACACCAGAACTGGTAGGGACAACGGGCAGCCTCACTTGTAGGCTTGCTCTTAAGATCTCCAACTTCTGTTATTCCAGAGTGAATCGGTTAAAAAACAAAGAAAGAAAGAATCCCCTTCTCCAGCAGAAGCAGCACACGTGTGTGCATACACACAGCCCTGAGCCATTTAACAAACAGTGTTTTTGGCAAAAAAGGAGCTTCCTCTTGCTCCATGCTCACCTGGCTCACTGTCTATCTGCGTCAGCACGTCTTCAATCGAGTCCTCGTCATTCCGCAAGGTCTCCGGGTCAGGTGGAGTGTAGCCGTGGCATCGACACCAGTGCACCACGTGCTTTGTTTTCAGGGGTGTAATGTTGTGAAACCTGGGGTGCTTCTCTATGATTTCTTGTAGGATCTTTCTCACTGTCATTGCTCGTTGCCACTGCGACAAACGAAAGGGAAAGCTCACCACACTGGCTAAAATGTTTAAGGCCAGACTATGGCGCAGAACAACAATCCAGGTCCCAAGGAAAACAAAAGGAACACGATTTTCTCAGAAGTGAGAATGACAAGGAAAAACAAATGTGGAGGCTGGCCCTAATCCTGGTATTAGGCAGCTGTAGGCAGGTCATTTAAACTCCGCTTCCCCATCCAAACAAAACCTCAAGAAAAATGGACGCACATTTACAGGGGCCCAGATGCTTGTCTGCCTCATCCCCCAAGTAACACCTAAGATGGCACAGTGCAGGAAATCCACTAGAGCAAAATGCTGCTCAAAATTTTGGTTAAGCTCTTTAATCATTGAAGTTGACAACAGCGGGATGGCCTAATCAGTTTTAACATCTTCCCCATACAACTCCATAGCAAGATAACAAAACTAGGAAGCAACAGGGCTAAACACAACAACCACAATAAGGTGCAGATTAACTGTAGTCTCCATAGCAAGATAACAAAACTAGGAAGCGACAGGGCTAAACACAACAACCACAATACACAAAGGTGCAGATTAACTGTAGCATTTATCTTTAGTGAACTGACAATCTATTTCAGCACTAACACTGCTTATGTCAGATCCCTCAGTTCTCTTTCTACAGAGAGCAGACACAATCCCAGGCAAAGATGGACAAAGCATGTTGGGTAAAACTCCCATGACCATAAGAGGCCACAGAGGAGCAACGAGGATAAAGCGCTAACAGGACAGTTTGCAAAAATTCTCATTTTGAAAATGCTTCAAAAAACATCTTACTTTGAACCAACTGAGAGACGACCTTTAGAGTCCCTTACACTTGAGCAAGTCATCACTACCTGGACACAAATCAGCATGTCTCGCAGTAAGGAATGCTTCCATTTACGCTGCGACAGAATGCTTCAGAAAGCAAGTCAGCCAGCGACAAGGAAGGTTCCACAATTCAGAAATCCTTCTTGTGTCCCTAACGACTGCATACAAAACACAGGAGGAGAGGATTACCTCGGCAGCCCTCCTCTTCCCAATATTCCAGCTGTAATACTGTTCCACTGAACTGGCACAAAAAGAGCTTGCATCTTCACCTAGAAAACACAGAGCCAAAAACAATATTCAATTTTAGTACGTGAGGTAAGATAAATTCTGCTTTTTATGTTATTTAGTGGAGAAGAGGAGGGAAATATGTTTCATTCTTGTAGGATCAAGGACTGTAACTCTTACAAGTGCTGTGCCCTCTCAGCACGGCACAGGTACGTGCAGCAGACACGCTCTGGGTTTTGATTACAACATCAGCATCCCTCTTGGTCAGGATATACAGGGGTCTGGGGCTACAGGCTGTTTTAAGCCTTCTTCCCCCCAAAACTGCCATGATGTAGACCTGTAAGTCCATCTTACTGGCCAAAGTCTCTTCCTTTGGAAAACACTTTTTTTTTATTCAACAAATTGAAATATAAAAATGAAACCATTAAAAGGTTTCCTGGGAAAAACATGAGGAGGGGCTACGAATCCTAAGTAACGGATTGATGAACGTTCTCTGTAGGCCAGCGCGCTGTATGTAACGGAAAGCTTTAATGTGCCACCCACTCCTGCTTTGCTCACCGTGCTCACTTGAGAGCGTTGGCCCTACCCAGTCTCCAGGACCACTTGTTCAAAGTGCATTAGTTACCAGAGAAAGCTGATACATTTTCAGCTATGTAAACGAGTAAGAGGTATGCAATTATAAAGCAACATAAAAAATTATAATGTTTCTCTGCAAACTACTGCCTTTTGGTTTTTTTAAAAAAAAAGGGGGCAAAAACCCCAACAACACACACATTCCAATATTGAGCCACGTTATCATATTTGCAAGCATTTCTGAAACCCTGGCACTAAATAATGTCCTATTAAGGACAAACCAGGGAAAAAAAGACCTACTTGCAGCGCTTATGTGAGGAAATACAATCTATTTCTAACCAAAAAGCAGGAGGAAGTTAGTAACTACTGACAAATACTTGGCTTTATTGGCAGAATCTGATTCTAAGCATCTTCAGAATAACCCCTGGAGTAAGCTCTCTAGGAGAATGGCTTCATTTCATTCTGCCTTTTAATAATTTTTGCAGCTACAGAGTGTGCAAGGCATTCTGTCGATACATGGAAAACAGAAAGCAAAGTCTTTTCATTTACTGCTTACTTTTTTCAGCAATTAATGGAACCTTCTTCACTATTGCTGTTAAAAGCTGCTGGATGTTCTCCAAGTATTCTATGCTGCAAGGAATAGAAAGGGTGACGATGAAGACTAGTGTTGGAAGCAACGAAACAGATGCAAAAGGTTTCACAACGACTGCATGGTTTCAAGGCGTTACAGCAATCCTAGTACGAGGATAAAGTGTTCTGCCCACAGTTCGGAGAAGTTATTTCAAACAGCCCCTCCACTTGCCGAGGTGTCCACATCTGAAGCTGCATTTGTCACGATGAAAGAACTGAAGGTAGGCATTTCTGGGCAGGCTTGGAAGAAACCCCTGCGTCATTTCACAATCTGCAACACTACTTGGAGGGATAAGACACACCTATTAGTGCAGGCTGTCCCAGTGGGAACACGGGATACTGCATGGGAAGCTTCATACTTAACTGGAGTTTAGGTAAGTTTTACTTAACCAGCTATACTGTATTTAAACAGCAAGAACTGTATTTTCCATTAGTTATTTCATAACTAAGATATTTTCCAGTGTGTAATAACTTAAGATTTATTCCTGTCTCCTACACACACTCTCCATCAGGGTAATGTCTGCAGGGATATGTCGGGATATCAAAACTTTTCAAAACAGGGAGACAGGGAAGTCAACCACTGGAGGAACCACGAGCAGGAGAAACATCCAACACGCTACAAGAAAGATGCAGAGAAAATTTTGTAAACTGAGTTCTGGTCAAAAAATACTAACAAGCACTTGCAGGAGCATCACAAACAAGGCACTGGATTTCACTGCATCCAGTGAACAAGTGCTCCAATGATCTTTATTATTTAATTCCAATTCTAACCAAGGCAGCCCTCACACTAAGTGATTACGGAAGCACATGAGCTTAACAATACTAGAGAGGCAAGAGAACAGACAGTTGTGCTCACTTCAGATGCCCCTTTTTTGACCTGCCTTTCACTGGGCAGTTTGACCTCCGTAAGGACATGCAATGGCAATGGGAATACAGGCAGTGGGTGATGAAGAAGTTTTAGCAGCTTGAGATTTTAACAAACTCCAAACCAACTGCAAATCTTCAAATTTTTCCCCCACATTTCATGCATATAAATATTTACAAAGAAAATATTGCAACTCTGTCTGAAACAAACGCTACCCAACAGGATTAGCACTGATACAGCAGCGCATGGACAGCAGATTTTATAATGTATTTCTAGGTCAAACTTGACACTACTGCACATATCCCTAGAATCTCCTCCATTCCCCCACTGTTTCAGAGATCAGAAATCCTTATAGAGAAATGAACAATTACTTGATAACGTAATTCCCAAGCTCAGAGCTCTCTTCTGTTTTTACTGCTGCTTGGCCTTCTTGAGTACCCACAGAACTGCAGTTCTGCCCTGTTGAATCAGGCTCCATCTTAACTTCAAAGAAACAGAACGCATTTTAGAAGACAAAAAGTACCAGTCAGCTTGATAAACAGCGTCTTTCGAGACTCCTGTCACACTCAGGGTCTTGCATAACACCACTTCATTTGTTGTTTGCTTTCTGATTGTTACGCATGAACTAATTTGACCTTCAATTCTGCTAAAAGCAAGCCAAGA